TGCATCTCAGTGCTGGGGGTGGGAGGTAGCTTAGGTCGACTTACTGCGGTGTCTACCCCGCGCTGCATCGACGGGAGACGCTCTTACCTTACTCTCCTCGTTCGGGGTGCAGAATCGGGGTCAAGCAGAGGTCGATCTGTGGTCGATTTGGTGGGTGTTCACTAGACCTGCGAAATGCAGCCCCCTCCCCCCCAATGCATCGATCACCGGCGCGTCGATCCGGCTGTGGTATAGACAGAGCCTTACAGGGTATTCGTAAACACCCGAGATGCGATAGACTTTCCTCATGGCAGCAAAGCTGGTTAGTGCAATAAAGCTGACCAAGATGACTGGGGAAAACTCTGTTTAAGTCAAGTCGATTATCAGACGACCATAGGGCCTAATTGACCCATTAGCCGTAGTTTGTTCAAGCACAAATCTATATTAAGGCCTGATGCAATGCCAAGTGACTTCAATATGAAGCCTCCCATGGCCCATGTTAATTTCATATGCAGTATAGAAAGTAACTACCAAGCAGGTGCTTGGGGCGGCCACACCAGAGAGGGGCGGCACGTCCGGCTCTTCGGCGGCAATTCGGCAGTGGGGCCCTCACTCCCGCGCGGAGCGAAGGACCTCCTGCCGAAGTGCCGCAGATCGCGATCGCGGCTTTTTGGTTTGGTGGGTTTTTGTTTTGCGGGGGGGGGTGGGGGGTGGCTGCTTGGGGCGGCAAAAACCCTGGAGCCGGCCCTGGTCACGACGCACACACAGGACCGTCACGACCAGACTCCAATGCAGCTACTTCCCTAGTTGGATTTTCGAAGGCTTGAGAGAATAAATGAAACGGCCTCTAATTTGTTGGACATCTTAAACGGAAGGGAAAAAAATTCTTCGGTCTGATCTACCCCGTGTATCTTTCACTGTATATTCTGTACCCTGGAAGGCCAAATTAAATGGTCAGTTACAGCCATGAAATAATTAAAGTTAACGGCGTTGCTCAAGTCGGAGAGAAGAGTTGATTCCAGCATATGCAATGTTCTCAAAGTGGGGGGTCCCAACCCAAAAGGGGGTCCCAAGACTAGTGGGGGGGGGGGTCATGATGTTGACCCACAAACTTACACAGGATCGTTTTAGGGGTCAAGACAAAGATGCCACATTTATTATTAAACTGTAACTATTAGCAAATACCTCAATGCTTATACACATACACTCACACTCACACACACACACACACCAAAATGTTCTGCAGCTGCTGGATAGTTACCAGTCCTGATTGTAGTTTGAGTTCGCAGCTTGGGATCGGAGCTCGTGGCAGCTAACTGGCCAGGAAAGCTGAGCACGAGGAGGAGCCGGGTCTCTGTCGGGCGCGCACCGATGCTCCTTGATGTTGATAGCAGAACGTTACCCAAAGTCTCTCATCTCACCCTTCCTTTTTTATAGGAGTTTAGTTTGGATTCAAAGTTCCTAGGTCTCGCTGTGTCAGGCCGCCTCTGGGTTTGGTGCTTGATCACCCGTCAATTGCAGGCGTGACTGTCAGCCTGGGACCTGGCTTTGATCTTCCTTCTGTTGTTTCTTTTTAGGGTGGATGCTTTTTGCTTGAGTTAGGGCTGTTGTCTAGTTCTTCAGCCGTTGGTATTTGAACTTTATCTCATCAGGACGGGCTGGTGCTGGAGGTTGA